TACAGAAATACAGCATGGCATGATGGGATTCCTGGATTTTTACTATTTATTTATTTAGGATTCTGAGAAAGTCACTGATCCCTTCTAAGCCTGAGTTTCTGCATCTGTAAAAAGAAACTGCCTACCTCTCTCACTTGGGGGAGACACAGCAAGAGTGTGGACTGTCTGCCTAGGGTGTCTGGCCTACACATGTAATGCACGTATTTTACTGCCCAGCTCGACTAATGAACTGTGAGTAATACTTACAGATCAACATTAATATTTGATCAGGCAACTCCTCCAACACTGAGGCTCTCTGGAATAGCCAATACAATATACGTTACTGATTAAAGTCTAACTTCTTCCTCATACACGTTTACCCTCAGATTTCAACACATTTCCCTAACAATACTATCTTCAGGAAACCCAAAGTGCCAGAAATAAAACCATCATTACACCAGAGAGCTTTACTCTTTGTAGGTTAGTATCTTACATACCAGAACTCTCTGATCCATGGTGGCAACACTCTACAACTCCAGTGGATATATGGAACTGAGTAGTACTGAACCCTAATTATAAAGTTTTTCCCTAGACATACTGTGCTATATATAAAACAAGTAATCATCTAATTGCTTAAGCAGAGATATTGATCTCTACTCTTCCTGTTCCTCACAAACAACATCTTCAACATATCCAGATGCTGCTATTATGCTTTGGTTATTTGTTTGCCCTAGAAAAACATGAGAACATGAATACCTTACAACCATTTTTATCACCCCAACACCCAACAAAGCTAGGTATGTGCTGTATATGATTAGCACTTACTGAAAAATAAATGACTTTTAAAATGACTTCATGATTCATCTCTGAGAAAATGATCTTGAAATTCCATTTACAAAAGAGATGAAAACATATTTCCTCTGAGCAGTAATACAAGGGAAAAAAAGCACAGCAGATGAAAATTTGCTATTATATTACATCATTACTTCAGGATAGCTATAATAACAGTCATGCCATTGTTTCTAGTATCTTGAAGTATCAAAGGTTAGTTACATTTCCTAGCAATATTAGTAAGTAAAGCTAACAATTATCATAATCACTGAGGAATTTTAGTAGCCACCTCAAAGGGAACATAACCTTTCAAAGTTACCTATACACACAGAGAAAAGTATTGAAAGAGCAAGTACAATACACCTTCCAAACAGTTTTGTCAGTTTTCTGTGAGTTTACTGTGGAAGTTTTTAAGAGAGCATGGATTATTTAAAGTCATCTTTACCTCAGATAATCAGGGGGAAAAATTTACCTTAATTGACCTTAAGAATAAATGCTTTTCTTTTCATCACATTAGACCCAAAAATAAATTATGTATAAACTACATTATAAAGTAGGAGGTTTTACAGACCAAGCCTAATTCAGTTCTTGGAAATCAATGGTGTCTACATTAACATAATGAATGGTGTTATTGCACTACCCTCAGCCTTAGCAGGGATAATACAGGGGTCTTCTATGCCTTCCGGTCACTGAGGATATGTGAAAATTTTCTATAAATATATTTCAGGATGTTTACAGGAATAAAAAGATAGGACAAAATAATTAGTTACAACAAAAAGTCAAGCTCAAAAGGCAGCCTACACCTATACATGACACCCTCATGTGTCCATATCCAATAAACTCAAACATAACGCAATTAAGCATGTTTTGTTTCCTCTTCTATAGCTGAGAATTGTTTAATTACTGACCAAATTCACTCAAGCAAAACGTTTTCAAAATTCAAACAAAAGGCAGACACTACTGTTTACTATTACTACTCAACAAATTGAGTGGAAATATTTCAAGGTTTTTAATTTGTGGCAAAATGACTTTTAAAAATTCAACATTAGAGACTGGTTAATAAAAGTAAAATCGTTCAATGGCATTTCCTTCAAAAACCAAGTTTAAAAAGGGAAAACATCACCCTCCATGAAATCTCACCAGCAACCACTCCAAAGGATCTTAAATGCACATGACTCCAAACAAACCAGGTACCAGCTCAGCTGAGGCAGGTGAGGAGGAACTATGAAGTAGAGGAAAAGGTTACACACAAGTTTCACCCGAAAGCTGATACTGCAGTTCCTTTTGCTTCTGTTGTTATGAGGAATGCAGATATGGAAATCATGAAAATCAGAAGCCAGAAACTGACTTCATGAAAAAAATCTCCCACCTTTTAGCATTAGGAAACCAGCGCAGGGCTGGCTAATAAACAGTGCCTGCCAACCAAATTTGCATACTTCCCTTGAGCTGGTTACAGGCAAAAGAACCACACTAAAATTCTTGACTTGTGGGTGGAGACCCCTTTGAGGGATCAAACAACCTTTTCACAGGGGTCCCCTAAAACCATGGGAAAATACAGTACCAAATTATAGTTATGAAGTAGCAACAAAAACAGGGTTTTTATGTTTGTTTGTTTGTTTGTTTTTCGAGACAGGGTTTCTCTGTGTAGCTTTGGAGCCTATCCTGGCACTCACTCTGGAGACCAGGCTGGCCTCGAACTCACGGAGATCCGCCTGCCTCTGCCTCCCGAGTGCTGGGATTAAAGGCATGTGCCACCAACGCCCGGTAACAAAAACAGTTTTAATGGTTGGGGTCACCACAACATGAACTGTATTAAAGGGTCGAGCATTGGGAAGGTTGAGAACCCCAGATGCAGTCCGAAGAATCTCAAACACATGACTCCCAAACCTAGGTATCCCCTCTCCCTGCCACCCCAGGACTATAACCCAGACTTCACAGTGAAGACAGACTCCTCACATACCAGACAACAACAGTGATAAGATGAATTTGGAAGTTGAAAGTTTTAAAAATATTTCTACTTTACGAACTATTTTAAGGAAAAAAGATTAGATTGAGGGGGCTGAATTAAGAAACGACTCCTAATACAACAGAGAACATATTTTCTGGATATTACAATTCATTTTTTTAAATCTAGTGTTTTATAAACTGAATTAGTTGGGTAAAATCTAATCAGCCATCATCTGAGTTCTTAGGAAGCTTGACTGTTTCTAGGTCTAACACTGGCACCTGGCAGTTGTGAAAGGTACTTCATTTCAGGTACATGAAAAAGGAAAACAAAAGTTTAGAAAGAACAACAATGTTCACCAAGAAGACACTTGTTATATAATGATTAAGGCAGCAAAGAACCCAGACTCAAAATACTTTGCTTTACTATTTTAGCTCTTAAAGAAGATTAGATGGTCAAACGGATAAACACAATCTGGGAGATTAAAAGGGAAATGCTGTGCAGAACACCTCCCCAAGATTTAGCCTTACAGTATAACTTTAAAGGAGCCCCTCAAACTTTCCAGTTTAAGTCAGGTAGGAAGTTTCACAGCTACATTCTACTCAGAGTTCTGGGTTAACTTAGGAAGCTATCTAACCTACTGTTATGATACCGTACTTTGGAAAAAAATCATTTAAGAGCAAGAAAAGGGGGGGGGGTGGAATATGTGGACCTATTGCAGGGAAAGCTCAGCATCAGAATGCTTTCCCAGCATGCTCCAGGTTCCAGGTTCTATGTGGTGATGTTAAGAGATATCAAGATCAAAAAAAAAAAAAAAAAAAAAAAAAAAAAAAAAAAAAAAAAGAAAAAGAAAAGAAAAAAGAAAAAAGATATCAAGATCAAAACTTCACATGCCCCAAGAAGACACCCTCTCCCATTTGCTAGTCTGTTCTGCTTTGGGAGCCATTATATTTTTTGTTTGTGTTTTTTGGCATTACTAATAATCAAGATAATTAAATGGAGTCACCCTGATGTACTTAAAAGTTAAAAGTTTGGGCTGTGTAAAATGTTATTTTTAATTCTGGAAAGAAAAAGAAACTGTTTTTCTTCATTTAATTGGAATGGTTTTAAGTTTTTGCAAGCAGGAAGCAAAAAATTAAACCAATAAGCATTTATTGATGGACAGTTCCCAGTCCAAGAAATATGATGGGTAAATGAT